CATTGCCGCGAGTAAAAATCGCTGAATGCCGCGACGCTGCATGACGATGAGCTTGTCGGCGCTGGTTAACAGTACTCGGAGTATGCGACCACGTCGTCCTTCGAGCAGCGTGTTAACCCACATTAACGATCCACCGTGTCTCGCTTCCGGAAGATGAGGGCCGCGATTACTGTCGGGGATCTCGTAATCGGCAGATTTTCCTCGAGGAAAGAACGACGTAGGACAAGATTTCTCTTCTCAATCGATGTACTTCAGTCTGCAATCGCGTCCCCGTAATGAGCGATCATACAAAAGTAATCGTACGTAGCTTTGAACACACCGTTTAGTAGACCGTGGCGTCTCGTTTTAATTTCACGAGCCAAGTGACAAGTGACAAATTTTTCTCGCGGTATTTTGCATTGTGTCATTACGCGCAAGCCGGCATTATCGGGTGAAAGGTTGACGAGTTTTTATCCGACTGCAATCTTCGTCCGTGATTAGTCCGTCGGAGGACGTATAATTGGCGTGCATGCGACAAGGCTGGAGGATTCTCGCATGACGCGGATGACCAAAGCGTTATCCGCGATAAGAATGACCGTGTGAATTTTATATTCGCGGCGGAAGAAAATCTCTTATTGTTACATAAAAAGCGACGTGATTTTTCTAAGCTCCGGCACATTCGAGCGACGTCGAAAAATATGTTCGCGTCGCCGTACGTTATCGAGAGCAATTTCCATCCGTTCGCGGTTAAAAAGGACTTTATATTTCACATTTTGAAACTAACGTTTACATATTTATAACCGTAAATTTTAATAACAATAACCTTCATTCACGGGAAAAAGATTCCTTAGGATAAACATGATAAAAATTTCCATTAAAGAGCTCGAGATTGTGTTATGAGAAATTTTTGTTCGGCAAGAAATATCAAAGGTAAATAAAAGTCGAATCAATCATTCGCAACGGGATAAATCACGTAACATTTTAATTAAAAAAGAAAACGCAAAAGGATTACGTAAAGCTTTCTCGTGCGGTTTTCTCGCAGTCGACGTTCCGCGAGTCAACAACATCTCCGGCTCGATTAACCGCGCTCGGAGACACGCTGAGCACCGATGCGTCTAAAATCCGATTACCGTTCGAAGGGTCCGGTGGAAAAAAAGATCGCGTTACGTAAACGTCGTCGTAAGATCCCGATTGGCGTGGCGCCAATTCGCGCGGCGTTTCGGGCAAACCCGCCGCGCGCGCGCGTGCGATTACCGTACGGTAACGACATAATTGTCCGTTATGCGCGATTTCCTCGGCTATTACTTTTCACCGCGGCGATTTATCGGCGATGTACAACGAGCTGCGCACACCGTGCGAGTACACGTGCTACGGCTCGTAACTTACACAGCCGAGGAAATGCGCGATCTTTTGGTTTTACGGTGAATTACGTCATCATCATCATCGTCGTCGTCGTCGTCGTCGTCGTCGTCGTCGTCGTCGTCGTCCTCGTCGTAATCATCATCGCCATCCTGTCGTTGCTTACTCGAGGCGCGCGCGATGTCTGTCATTATTCCCCGAGATCGAATACGGTACGCTCTACTGTTACTTCCACCTCATTTCGGTGACAACAGACTTCCCTCGATGTTTAGCGGAGGCGGCCTTCGCGGCTCAAGCGATTTGTTCTCTCGGCGTAGGACGATTGTTTTCTTCCCGCAACTTTCTACTTTTCGATTAAACGTCTCGTCGACCGAGACGTTGAGAGTTGAGCGAACGATTCGATCGCCCGAGTCCTTTCTTCGACGTTCTATCCCTCAAGTCAGGAGTCGCTGTCAAATGTCTGACACGGGCGGGTCTCGCGAGTCGAATTCGCGTGAAAGCGCCCGCCGTGAAGAATGCAAGAGACGATAATCACCGGATACCTCGCGCGGTGCACGCGCGTGTTTGTCCCTCGACTTTGTCATCGCGCACTGTACTTATCGAGTCGTTATTTCCTCGAAATAGTTTCTTTTCCCGATCGATCCCGAGCGCGCGAGAATCGGGCCACTTTTATCTTGCAACGCGTAATTACGGGCTGCGAGTCAGTCAGTCGGCCAGTCTGCTTTTTTGAGCACGAGAAAGGGAGCAACGCGACGGAATGTATCGCCGGTGATTTTGAAGCCTCAGCGATATGTTATTTGGCGCGTTTTGCAACGTCGGCTCCTCCCGCTCGTGCCTCCCGTTGCTTTGACTCTAGATCGCACCGTGTCATTATGTAGAGCGAGAACGGCCGATCATTGTCTTTCGGCGCGAGACGCGCGCGCCCTGTGATGCTGCGCCTCTTTGTTCGCGTTTGCAGCTTTGCAATTCATGAAACGCGCGACTCGCTCGCACGCGCGCGGCGAGCAAATAACACGGTTGCTCGCGTACGCGCGAGCGTTGCGCACACATCGCGGAAACAAAAAGCGCATATTCATAGGTAATAATCGCGATTATCGTTATCGGCGAGATACCGGCGACAACACCGCGCCGTTGCGAAATGCGACGCACTCGTGAAATACCTGCAACTTCTTATCGGCGCGATTTTCAGTGGCCTCGAGTGGCTTACTGCTCGTGCCAAGTGCTTTCGCGAAAAACGGAGAGAGAGAGAGAGAGAGAGAGAGAGAGAGAGAGAGAGAGAGGGGAGAGGGAGTTCGCAATTCGAACAGTTGCGTTTTGTTGAAATTGTACCGATTGTCAATCGAAGCGATGAATCTCGCCGAGCGGCGAATCAAAAGTAGACGCTGCCGCTGGGCGCTGGAATGGAATGAATGTCGCGCGATAAGCAGACGCCAATCGCAATCTCGTGCAATCGGCCTCGCCGTTCTTGTGACACGCGCCCTCGATAGGTCTTTTGCATTTCTTCTCCGCGATCTCGCGCGCAAAAGTAGTCCCAGCGGATACTTTTTACGCTCGTCTCGGTTATTACTCGGCGTGTTTACTCGCACAACACGAGCGGCGACGGCGGCGGCGGCGGCCGGCCGGTAGCGCATCGACGAGGAGGAATCCGCGGAATGCGTTCCACGGTCGTAACGCGTCGGTCGGTGGCTCTCCTTCGCCGTGTAAGACGTCTTCATCTGCTTTCCGTGCGTACAAACGCAATTCGAGCAGGTACGCGTTCAGCGGCGAACAAGGAGCTGCCCGTAAGCGACGACGAGGGTGGGGATTTTACGGGCCCGGGACGACGTCCACATTTACATTTCCGTCTGACAGCCGACACGAACGCGCGTGAAATTAAATTGGTTCGTCGTCGCAAGAAGAGAGAACAACTGCGGGGACGAGACAAGGATACAATACGATTGTTTTTAATTTGTGTACGGCGGCTCATCTATTTTTCCTTTCGAGCGGACCTTGCCGAACGAATGTCGCGGTCCCGCACTTGTAATCCTTCCTTTTTCTGTCGAGCGAAAATTACGTAAAAATGAATGTAGACGTTAGGTGAGAATTGCTTTTAACATTTGGAGACGGTTATTACCCGCCTGAATGCTTCATAACGCCATCGACCGGTGCTTAATCGCGAAATGCTCCCGCGAACGCGCTCGTTTCTTCTTCTTCTTCTTCTTCTTCTTTCTCTTCGAACAGTTAGCTGCTCCGCTTAGATATTCTCTCGCTCTGTTAATTAAGTGCTACCGAGTCACTCGTACATCGCGTTCCCTCGTTCCTGGAATTAATTTGTGGTGTTTGTTCGCATCGACTGTTAGCCGCGGATCGTTGCACCGTTACAGTTTACAATTTTTCTTCCTCGGATGAGCGAGTGTCGTCGCACGGCGAAATTCACACGGCCCGTTTCTCTCCCACCCCGCGCTTTTTTTACCCCTTTCAACGTTGCTCTAACTCGCTTGCTCGCCGTCGTATTCTGCGCGAAATATTTTTAAGCCAGCGTGACGGGTTCGTATATGCGATGCTAATGTGTAATTAATTATGCATTACTTGTAAAACTCTTTTGTCACTTTATTGGCGGCTTCGTTCTCTTGCAACTTTGACTTCCGGACTTTGGACGCGACGAACGGGAGGGTCAGGCGGAATTTCTCCGTATGGACGACTCCTCACTGAAGCGGATCCCCGCTTGTATTATAAACGCGCGCTTATACAACGGTCTTTTTCGTGAATCTTCATTTCGCATCTGACTTTTAAATTCGCACATTTTATTGTCGTCGGTTTCCTTAACGTCCACTTCGATAACGTAATTTTTCTGAGACTATTAAAATTGTCGTTAACACCAACATGAAGAGGAGGGTCTCACCAAACGAGCGGATCCAGGCAAGGAAAGGCCACCACGCAGAAATGCCGCGCGAACATCGACGGTCCGTCGGATCGTTTCACGCTGAAACGAATAAATATCGACGAGAACGCGCGTCGGAATGAGTTGTGGGATATATTTATCAGCAACAAATGCACGTAACTCCGGCGAATTAGCATTTCCTAGGTTTTTAGGACCTTTCTAGGTCCGGTCGAATATCCCGCGCGACGAAAATTGCGCAATCGCGACCTGTCAGAGAGAGAGAGAGAGAGAAAGAGAGAGAGAGAGCGAGCGAGCGAAATTGCACGGTACACCATTGTCAGGTGTCGTAACTTATCGCGATGATTGTGCAAGGGGACGCCGCTCTTGCTACTGTCGAACCCGGATTCATCGTCTCGCCGTTGCAACGTAGATCTCACCGCGGAGATATTAATGCAATTAGTAACGGCGTCGCAACTCGCGATTAGCGAGATGTTCTCCTGCTGAAACGGAAATGCGAGGTAAATGTGGAATAACGTGCAAGCGCTTCATCTGATGCCTCACATCGGGCTGTTTATCGCAACTTACCTCATCCGGCCATCCGGAAAGACGACGTTGATGATTTCTCGTCAAACGCGCGCATCCTTCTCGACTACAGCGCGACATTTCCCTATTACGGAGAGAAGCGATCGGTCGCTTGTCAGTCGCGCGACGAATGTTACGAATAAATATGTTACGAATACATATCCTGAAGAGACATCTAGCAGGATGATAGTTGTAAAGGTCGGCTCGTTGTGCTTTGCAGACTCGCCACGACCTGAGGATGCGAGGTTGCGCGGAGGACAGGAGGGCGCGGACTGGTGTTGCGAAGACGCTGAGGTCTGCGACCGTCGCGGGAAATGACCATGACGAGCGTGGCTGTCGCCCCGGGTAGCCTCGGCGCACCACCAGCTATGCTCAGCCCGAAGATGTATCACCTGCAGCAAGGTCTCAGCCCGACGTCCGGCTCGCCCACCTCCGGCAAGGTATAAGTCTCTCGAAATTCTCTGGCCGGGAATATCGCGCGCGCGTCGGGATATCCGGATTTGCGGAATCGTGCGATCTCGTCGCGGGCGCGAGAGAGCGTATCTCAACCGCGCGAGTGAAGGCGCGGGCGTGAGGGAGAGAGAGAGAGAGAGAGAGAGAGAGAGACAGACAGAGAGACGCGTCTCTTTACATAACGGTACAGCCGAGGTTGAGATCGTGGAACCTCATCTGCGGCCGGTTATTAGATACAGCTCTCCGGCGCGGCAACCGACGAGAGCTTTTCTGGTATTGCATTTCTCCAGCGCGCGCGTGGTCTAATTACTACTCGCGGCGCATAAAGTGTCCGTCCTGCCATTTCCTCGGACGGAGGCCAGGCGAGTCGGTCATTTTTGCCGAGCGGAGCGCTCCGAACCTCTTACACAACGACCGCGTCGTCGTGGCACACGCGGTATTGCGGTTGATGCATCCGTCTCTGGAGCTTCTTCGATTACCGTACGCCTCCGCGCGCTACGATCGCTGTTTGCGGCGAGGCCGGCTTTGCCGCGAGTCTCTGCTTCTTCGGCCGGGGAAAACATTGTCGTTAATCTGTCTGCTGCTTTTTGAGCCCGGCGCGAGAATGCTCTTGCGTAACGCGACGGTGTGATGTGCAACTTGTCGGATAAGAAGTCGCCCGCGCGACAAGCATCCGCGAGGAGATCGCCGATATCGTGAAGTCGGTTTCAACGATCCGCCCGTAGCGAACGGCTCCTGGTAAAAGTTGCTGGTTCGATTGTTTTTTACGGATGTTTACGGCGCGCGGAGGAGCAACAGCGGCGTGTCAAAATAGGGAAAGTGCTCTCGCGGCTGAGTTAATTGCCGGCTGTACGTCGTATTTACGTAATGCGGGGATGAATGAACGTGACGTGACGTTACGCAGGGCGGGCAAGGGGGGAGCGCTATCATCCTCTGGATCGTAGCTTTTTCCGTTTCTCCAGCCTGTTTTTTGCCGCTATCCTTTTCCATCGCGTTTCGCACATCGCGTGTCGGGTTTGGGCGATCTGTCATTCGCGATGGAAATTTGCTCGGACGCTTTCGTGCGTGTCGCCCAATGCAACGTTCGTAAATGTGTAAACGGAACGGACTTTGATTCGTCGAATATTTTCTTTTTTTTTTACAAACACGGACACTCTCGAATCCTGATCTGAATTTTCGGGTTCGCCCGAAGCTCGCTCAGCTTCCTGACGATCTCGATTTTCTTGTTCTTTTACGAGGTTCGCTAGAATTTCACGACACGCAAACGCCTGAAAACGATCGAGAGCGAGGACGCGCTCTCGGCGCATTTCCCTTTACGCAATCCTCGTTACAAATCTCAGCTCATCGAATACACGCATAATCGCATTTTATTCTCTAGGCTCCTAGTAAGCTCGTCAGAGTGCTCTCCAAAAGCGAGGATAAACACGTCCTGCAGCAGCCTCATTTAGCCGGAGAGACAACATCGCGCTCATCTATCGCCACGTCGGCACGTTTCATAACGATGCGACATTTTTATTCGCCGCTTAATTGCCGTCATCGTCCGCCGATACGCGACGCGGTGCCAAGATTGCTTCGCGGCGATTTTTTTGCTGCGAAACGAGAATCGAATCGCTTAAGCGGCGCGAATTGACATCGCGTACTTTACGAGCGGGACTGACCGCTTAATGTTCCACCTCGGTTGGATCCGGCCGGTCATCATTGACAGTCGAAAAACTTATAGCTCGGTATGCGGTCTCGATTTTTTACCCGCCGTGTAAGAAACCCACTCGGACGGAAATTTCACGCTAGATCTCACAAAGTCCGCCTCGCGTTTATTTCCGTTAGGCGAATCGCTCGTTTGTTTAAACATCCGGAAATCAGAAAAGAATCCTACTCCTGCGGACCTCAGGCTCTCAGCTGTACAAAATGTCAGGGTTACATTAGAAAGTTGCCGGTTGCTTGCAATACCAACCATCATTACGGGGGAATTGCGCAAACTGAGAGAAAATGCCAAAATTGTGTCGCGGCGTCTTTCGATGCGTGCACATTTATTTGACACGAAGCACACGAGCACGCCGTGAAAACCTGAATCTACTCGATCATCATTTCGCGTGTCACCATTAACGGTATCATTAGCCGCAAGAAGTATTCATTTTGCGAACCGCGACGTGTATCGACGGTCTCGAAAGCCATCCGAGGTAAATTATCCGAACACAATAAATAATACGTAATTTATTTTCTAATCCTGCGTTATCTTTGCCTTTGGAAAGTAATTTTTTTGTGTATCCACAAAAGAGTCACAAATAACCAGACAACTTCGGATTAAGCTACATCCAGCCGCCGTAAAAATAATGTATACGTAAGTCGTGAGTAAAAAGCCGATAAATCACTCGTCGATCAAATCACTTTCAAACTTTTTGCCACTTTTTGCTTCCGAAAGTAATTTTCCGCTCAGAGTATGAAAATTACCTCAAAGGGGAGCAAAGAAGTGTCTTGTATAATTTATAGCGTGCCGATCATTTCACTTGGATACAGTTTGATGTACCTTCGGAATCAGCCGTGTATGATTGATACTCCGGTCGCGTGCGCTCACGTTCGACGTGTGGCGTGTTATCACGAGAGGAAGAGAGTAGCCGAGGCACGTAAGAGCAGAAGCCCCGAAACAGAAAACGTCTCGCGAAGGACAGTCGCGTCGTCGGTGACGCAAGGACAGGCTACGTGCTTTTCAGTCCTCCTTCAGGCCAGCTGGACAATGGCTCGCCTGGTTTTACCTGAAAACCAGTCGTCGATTATGACATCGAATACTTCGTATTCACGTTCTGCCCTTCTGCGATGACACGCTATGCCTTCCGCAGGTTCGCCTCGGCCGGCGGGAGGCTGTGTGTCTCGAGTGTCGGCCGGTTCAGTCACGGACAAAGTGTTGGTTGACACGAGTCGTGAGTGCGCATCTCCCACGCGATTGCGATAAAATTACAAATACAACAGACGAGCGCGCGCGCGCGCGTATTTTGCTTCGCTACTCGGCTACTCCGTCGCGTCGGTCTTTTCTTTCGCTTTTCGGCGAGAAATAGTTTCACTCGCGCGTTGCATTAACGGCGACGATGCGCCAGGTGACGCCGCGGATTCGTGCTACCCGATCTCTCTTTTCCCTCCTTCTCTCTTTCTTTCGCTCTCTTCTCTCTCTCTCTCTCAAGTCGCCGCGTTGTTCGTTATAGTTACTCACCTTGATTTATCACGACGGCTCTGCCGGCGCGGATTTACAAGTATCGTTAGCCCGCCAGCACCGACGAGTGTTACGAATGGGGATAAATTCGCGCGATTCCGCGTGTAATCCCGTGCGTTTATGCGACGGAGGCCTCCGCTCCGTGGAAAGTGATACGCGAATCGAACATTCGCGAGGGTAAGAGAGGAACGTTATGATGCGCGCGTGCATAAATCACCGCGCGCATGCATACACACACACACACACACACACATACATACACGTGCACACGTGAGACGTTATAATTACGCACGCGAGCGCGTTAGCACGCACCATCTAAGTGCCTTGTTTACGACGGCGCCGTCTCTGAAAATAAATTTCAAACAGCCGCGAGAACGTTTAGCCGGCGGCTGCACGCTGCGCTCTGTAATTTATGCTTAATCCGGCCACGATACGAATTTCCTTAACGCGTTATGTGAACGCGCTCGCTAAGCGCAACGCTCGCGAGGGACGCAACGACTAATTGGATAACCGAGATACGAACACGATCGCGAGGCATGCCCGGGCATGCACGGGCTCCGTGAATCGATAACACGGCAAGACGTATGAGTACGGCACGTTATATCAATAATAGCCGCGGTGCCTTTTACCGCGGACGGTTTTCCCAACTGAGTCGCTGAACCGCGCGGCAAGCCGTGTGTATTTTCGCCGCGAAAGTCAGCCGGGATGATGCCGGGGGATGTTTTCTCGCGCTTCGTCTTCCACGTACGTCGCGTGCGTCTTGGCGAATCGATCGAATAACATTCCGAAATCTCGTCTCAGACTCGTTTGTCGTCGACCGATGAATGCGTCGTCCGAGCGGAATGAAAAATGCGAAACTACGACGCCGCTCGCTCGGAGAAGCTGCCTGTCGCTGAATAATTATCCGTCTCTTTTCGTTCGCCGGCCGACTGGCGGAGCGGGCGGCCCCGCCGTATCAGCGGATCCGTAAGCCGAGAGCTTGGCGACATTCCGCCGTGTTTGCGCGAACTCGCGACCGGTAATAGTTTATATAACTATTCGAGCATACACACGGGATCTCGCACGCGCGGACGCGCGTAACTTTCCATGCTCCTTGGAGCGTTCTCAGTTGTTGCGTGCTCGCGCGAGACTGGTTTAGTATTTGGCCCACATCGCCGTGGGGAACTTTCGAGACTTTATTCTCCCGCAATTTCTTTCGATCGTAACAGGCTCCGAGGCTGACTCGGCGCGATACGCGATACGGTCCCTTGACATTTCTGCTCGTACATATGCTTGCCCGCGTGTGAATTTCTCCTTCCGCACGGCGCACCAAAGCTCGGTTAGCGCGGCGATGAAACGCGGAGCGAGCGTATTTCTTCTGGATCAGATCGGCTTCTAAAAGAGGTTCCGCGAGATTCCGTTTCCTTGATTGTCCCAAGTGCCTTCGGCTCGCCCATTGTCGCGTTTACTCGACCAATCTTTTCTCGCTCCGTGTGAACAGTACTCGTGTGTCTGCGATATTATGTAAAACGCGTTGACGATATCTGTCTCGCGTAACGCGCTGCGTTGTGCAGGTATCCGTACTCGCAGAGGATCGTGTTTCAAAGAAATCACCTGAGACATGGGCGACGTTGGGGGATTAGATTCGGTGCGACAAAACGTATCGTTGCCCGGCTCATTGTGACAACACGATTGCAAAATAAAGTCCTCGATGCGACAAAGAAACGCGCGCGCCGGTTTATTCCTGCAAAAGTACCCTATTCATTATGACCGGGAATTTTCTTTTTGTCTTCACTGTTGGAACAC